CCCAATTAATTAGTTGAGGTTTCTCTCCTTGAACTAGAAACAGCTTCTTCTCTGCTACCTGTACATCACTAAGACAGTCCAAATTATCTATCAGTAGTAAAAAGACACACAGTCAGTCAGTCAGTCAATAATACTCTTACCCATTGAAGGGATCAGGTAATTAAATTGTAGTCCAATGGAACTAGTCTCTTTGATAGGTTGCTTGAGGACCCTCTCTTGTCTTTCCTTCACTAGTTTGGCTATGTACAACTCCTTTTCTTTAAGGTCTATAAATTAATAGAATATTAATAATTATTATTGATTGATGATGATACACTAACCAGTAATGATCTGTTTCTCATTCTGTGATTGTTCCTCTACTTGTGATGTCAGTTTGGCTATAACTTTGTCTTTTTCAGAAATGAGATTTTGATTGTCGTCTACACAGTAAACATATTCTCTCATCTAATACATGCTGTGTGTATAGTTAACTAACCAATAATGATCTGTTTCTCCTTGAGATATTCTTCTTCCATATCAGCTACTTTGAGTTTCAGTTTCTCATAACCTTCTACATCAATAGAATATTCTCTTATCTAATATTATGTACTGATGATACACTAACCAGTAATAATCTGTTTCTTCTCCTCTACTTGTGTCTTCTCTTCCAATATTTCAGAAACTTTAACTTTGAGCTTCTCATTATATTCTATTAATATCAATAAATATACAAAAATAGAAAATAAAATGATATTTGTAGCTTAAACAAATTTGCACTGCATGTACAGTAGCCCATAAATACATGTACTATGATTATTGCTAATGATACCAATATGGTAAGCAGAGCTCACTCTACATCAATCTCATTATTTCTAATGCATGGACAATTTGACCTATATTGAGTACAGGATACTATTTCCAAACCCAACATTCTCTAATCCACTAGTATCATAATGTAAACAATGTACACATAAACAACAGTACAACACAATAGCACCTTATTCAAGAGTTGATTTATCCTTTTCTGCTTGCTCAAGGAGAGTGGTAGCATCATCAAGTTGCTGACTAAGTGTTGTCTTTTCTTGAAGAAACTGTTGCTGCTCTTTGTCTCGATCTTGCTGTATCTGCTCCTTCTCTTTTATTTCTTTTTGAAGCTGTTCCTGATAGCGGAATTCCTTCTCTTTTTGTAATTGCAGATGATCTTGAAATATATGCACCTGTTTTTCAA